CGGGGCTGGCTTCTCTCTCTTCCCATTTTCCTTCCTTTTCGAGCGTAATTAAAATAAAAGGCGCCGACTCCAGGGCAGGTGCGGGGTGGCTCTTCCTATCAGCGCCCACAGAGAGGCGCTTTCTTTATTTTTGTAATTTTTAAGGGTTGTCAAAATCCGCAAAGTGAGCTTCCTCCGGCGGCTGGGCCCCGAGTGATGGGCGCCCCGCTGGCTCCCAGGGGCCGCGGAGGGGATGGGGAGGCGCTGCATCCGGTCTTCCTGGGGCTTCCTGGGTCCCAGCCTCGGGCCGGGAGCGGGCGCACCCCAGGCTGCCCTCTCCCGGTGCTGCCCAGGCCCCTGGCCCCTGGGTGTGTAGAGGGTGTGTCCAGGGTAGGCGACAGGGTTGTCCCACCATTTTGATGGGAAGCCTCCCCCCAACCCCTGGTCAGCAGAACCTGCCCTTGCTCCTCTGGTGGCATCGGGAGTCCCCCGAAATAAGTTACAGAGACCCCCACCGGTCAGAGGCTTCCGTTTGCCTGGGTTATCTCCCAAAAGTCAAAGTGTGCCCGGGGTCCAGAGCTGAACCGCTGTGGACGTGCCGTTTGCTCCTGTGTTAGAGCTGAAAGAGATCCCTGTTTTCCCCGGCAGGCCAGGACCAGAAGTTCATGTCTGTACCCGAGGGTCACTCCGGCAGCAGCGGCCAGGGGAGTGGGGAAGAGCGTAGACCCACAGCACTGAGCCAGAGGAGCCTGCGGTCTGTGTCTGTCCCCAGGTGCGGTCAGGATGGGCCCCAAGGGCAAGCAGAGCCTCTGGCCCGGGCCGGCCCCCGTGGGAGGGCCATGCCTCCTCCTCTTCCTCTGCCTGCGCTTGGGCACCTCCTGCCCGCAGAGCTGCCGGTGCCCCGACCACGATGGGGCCGTGGCCGTCCACTGTAGTGCAAGCGGCTTGCAGGAGATCCCCAAGGACATCCCCGCCAATGCCGTGTTCCTGAAGCTCGATGCCAACAAAATCGCCCGCGTCCCCAACGGAGCCTTCCAGCACCTGAGCCAGCTGAGAGAGCTGGACTTGTCTCAGAACGCCATCGAGACCATTGGCCCTGCCGCCTTCTCCGGCCTGGCCGGGGGCCTGCGGCTGCTGGACCTGTCCCACAACCGCATCCGCAGGATCCCCAAGGACGCCCTGGGCAAGCTCAGCGCCAAGATCCGCCTGTCCCACAACCCCCTGCACTGCGAGTGTGCCCTGCAGGAGGCCCTGTGGGAGCTGAAGCTGGACCCCGACTCGGTGGACGAGATCGCCTGCCACACCTCAGTTCAGGAGGAGTACGTGGGGAAGCCACTGATCCAGGCCCTGGACGCTGGCGTCAGCTTCTGCAGCACCCACCACAAGACCACCGACGTGGCCATGCTGGTCACCATGTTTGGCTGGTTTGCCATGGTGATCACCTACATTGTGTACTATGTGCGCCAGAACCAGGAGGATGCCAGGAGGCACCTGGAGTACCTAAAATCTCTGCCCAGCACCCCAGTGTCTAAGGACCCCCTCAGCCCTGCACCCTAGTGCCCACTGAGTGCCATCACTCTGTGGCAGGTGGTGACTGACTCGTGCTTTGAGATTCCCCCAGCCAGGTGGCAGTCACAGCTCCTTCTGTGCAGTGCACACTCTGGCCAAACACTTCCCTGAATTGCACTGAGTCACTCAGCACCCTTGGAGTCAGGCAGTGTCACCATCAGACCCTCCAGCGGAGGAAGAGACTGGAGCTTAGAGAATGGACTGACTTGCCCTTGGTGACACAGTCAGGAAACGATCCAATTGGGGCTTAAAATCAGGCCTATTACGATGTCCCTTCTACTCTGCGAGCCTCTCCCCGTGGTGCCCACGGGAGCGAATGCATTCAGAAAAGGAAGGACTTGTGTCCGTGAGTGTGAGTGTCCCCGGTGGGGAGGTTTGGGGTGCAGATTCATCTGTGGAGGTCACAGGTGACCCTACACTGAGGACCTGACTCACCACTGTCCCCCTGGTATGTCCTGAGCACATTTGACCACAGGACTCTTTCCAGAGCAAAGTTGTAGAGGCCAGGTTTTCCAGAAAGTGCGGTGAATGAAAGGCGTTACTCACACTAACCTCTGACCAACCGTGTTCGTTCTCAGAGTGTTGGTGAGGAGTCACACTTGTACCCAAATTTCAGCCGAGTGAGAGGGGAAAACCCCGAAACCTGATACCAAAACACCATGGAGAGAGACGGGAGAACACGTCCTGCCTGCCCGATTCCCACAGCTCTGTGTGGTCCGTGGGAAGGCCCGTCACCTCTGGTCGCCACCGTGCCTTGCTTTTCTACTCACCAACGCCTAAAGCAGCTCCTGTCAAAGGACAGGACTGATGCTTGATGTTTCAAGGCCAGTAAGCGGGACTCCTCCTTTTCTCCAACCTCCAACAACAGGTCCCCCCTCCACCTTTGCTGCCTGGGCTCTCAGAGCTAACCGAGTGCTCGATTTTCTCACCTATATAACTTCATGTCCAGGGTAGACGTTACCTCCACCTATATGACTCTGGCTCATCTTTCCAGTTTTATCTGTCGCTGTCTTTTGTATGAGCACTTATATTTTACACTACTTCCGATGTTGTCGGGGGAAGCAAATAGGGATACATTGCTATGAACTGCAGGTACAAAGGACAGAAGCCTCGTCGAGCAGAAGCTCAGAGACGATGAACATGGCGGGTTTGTACTTGGAAAGTACCGAGTGACTGGAGGTGGGAAACGGATGTGGGGTCACATGTACGCGTTGATCCGGAGACCCAGCGGCTGCACCAGAGACCCACAAGGCTCGTCCAAACACGGCTGTGATTTCTCAGTCACCGTGCATTAAAAAGAAACCAACAGGTTCCAAATGCCCTCCCGCACCCTAAGGCGCTGCGCCTGTGTTCACGGGGTGGGGGGCGGGGGGCGCAGCACATGCCTCGTGAACAGAGGGGCTCTTCTCTGCCAACCGCCCAGACCAGGAGCATGGGCATGGGAGGTGGGCTCCTTGGGTGATTTGGGTCCCCTTCCCCATCCCCATGTGCACATGGTGGGGACAGGGGTCCCACCACACCACCCAGTGGGCCTCCCTGATGGGTGTTACCCTGAGTCGGGAGAGAGCGGAACAAGGCCCAGGGTAGAGGGAGAGTGTCAGGGTCCTGCCATGACCTCGTGTCCTGTGGGTGCCGGTGACCTCAGCACTTTGGGGGGCCCTCTCCTTGCTGCTAGGGACTCCATTTGCTCTTGTGCCAAAGTCAGCCCAGAGCCTGGACACCACCACAGGTGGCCCTTAATGGGGACATGGAGAGTAGGTGGGGCTTTTCCCCTCCCTGCCCCTTTGCTGGCCCCCAGCCTAAGGCCACCTTCCCCTTGGTGTGGACCCTGCGGGGATGGGGGGTGACAGGGACCTGGAGCTCTAGAGGGCCCTCTCCCTCTCATCCTGAGCCCAGTCGGGCTGCCCATCCTCCTGGCCTTTGGGGATTCCTTGCCCCTTTTGGAGTCTCCCAGGGGAGGACACCTCCCTCGGAGGAAGACCATCAGGACCTCAGCTCCAAGACCCCCAGCTCTTTCCTGCCCATGGGAGCTCCCAACCCTGGTGCCTGAGAACCCTTTTGGGGCACAGCCCTCTCCTCTTTTCTGCTCTCCCGCCTCCTCCCCTTTTAGCCTCTCCTCCCCTCCCTTCTCCTCCTTTCCCTCCCGTCCTCTTCCCTCCCCTCTCCTTTAGATGACACCCTGCCTGAACCCACTGCATTCTTTGCTGCCGTATGTGACTTTGGACCCCTGGATGCCCCTGTGAGCCCTCGGGCTCACTCAGCCCTCACCACTCCCCACTGCACCACTGGATCCAGCATTTGACCCCATCTTAAATCTGCAGAGCTCAAGGTCAAGCTGGCACCATCAAGGGGACCAGTGTTAACAGAGGGCAGTGGGGTCAGTGGCCCCTGCTGTCTTTGCCATCCAGGTAACAGGCCCTTCCTTCACAGGGCCTAGGGGTCCAGGTGGAACTACTTTGGGGTTCTTCATGGGGCAGAGGGGCGTAGTGAGCAGATAGGCCCCAGCAATTGCCCCAACTCGGGGTGGGGGTGGTCCTCTCTTCCTTCCCACAGGAGTTGGGGGGCTCTTGCTTCTAAGGAGGCCTCAGGGCCAGAGGGGAGGGGAGAGGCAGTGAGGGGCTCAAGGGCCCTCCCCTCAGGGACCTGGTCTCCCTGCCTAGAAGCTCATGACTCCCGGTCCCTTGGCACCCTGGCCTCACCAGCCTCACCATGGATGCTCCTCATAGAACCCAGAGCCCCACCCCTGGCCCCAACCCTAGGAGGGCCTGCCCCATGCTCACAGCCTCCTGACACCCCAGCCTTCCCTTCTCATTGGGTTTTAGGCCCCCAGTGGCCCACCCAGGCTCTCCCTTGGGTGGCCCAGCAGTGGAAGATGAACTAAAGCACTCCTGGGCCCCTGCCGGGGCGCCGGGCACGGGCCCGCCTGCTGGCTTGCCGCCCTCCAGGCGCTCCCAGGCGCTCCCCGGCTCCGGGGCAGCGGGTCCTCAAGGAGCGTTTGCAAGAGACTTTGATGCTGGACTGAGTCACCCGGGGAGGCAGGGCTGCTGGGTGGTAAGGTGGAATGTTCTGGGCTCGAGGCAGCCCCGGCCATGGCAGCAGCCTGGAGTGGCTCCTGCAGTCGTCCTCGGGGACGTTCCTGCTATAGCCTGACTCTGCCGTCCTCTCAATAAACCCCTTGTGCTTACATCGGTCAAGTGGATTCTGTTGTTTGCACGTCTGTGGCCCCAGCCCCACCCCAACCCAGACCTCTCACTGCAGACCTGGCGCTGCAGCGGAGCCAGACCGGCCAGAGCCCGTGGCGTGGGGCGCTGGGTCAGGGAGACCAGGCCGCACACCCTATGGCCTGAGGCGAGGAGTCGGCGGCCGCGCTCGGGCTCAGGGTGGCCCAGGGCCGCCTTCCACCGGGGAGAGGGCAGCAGCCGCGAAGCCACTGGACAGCACGCACGGGCTGGGCTCGCTCATAGGGGCCTCAGCTAATTCCCGCAGTGGCCGGGCAGGGTAGAGAATATTTCTGTTCCAGACAAGAAACCCAGGATCGTGAGGTCTGGAGGGGAAATGACGAACGCAGGAGTCAGCTTGTTTGGGGCAGAGCTGGGCTGGAATCCTTCTGACGCCCGGGCCTGGAAGTCCTCACTCTGGGAAACACAAGCGTTGTCAACACAAAGACATGAGTCCCCGGTTCAGCCCCGGGCTGAAGAGGGGCCAGTGCTGGCGGCAGAGCAGCCCGGATTCGCAGTCCAGGCTGGGACGCCGGATCCCAGCACCTAGGGCACTGCACCTGTAACCATGGCAACACCACTGGCAGGAGAGGGAGTGGACAAGGGCCGGCTGTCAGGCCCCACTCCCGGGTGTGGCTGCCAGTGTTGGCCTGCTGTTCTGGGCAGAGAGGTGGGAAGGCAGCGTCCCCGGGCGACAGGCCCACCGGGCTCACCTTTTTTTTTTTTTT